ATGATTTTCATAAATTAAATAAACATTTACCTTCAATGCAATTACAATTAAAACAATCAAAACAACATTTACGTTTAAAATTAAAATATGATGATCTTTATGGACGTTTAATTTGGGGTAAAAAAATTGCCCATACATTTGGTACGCTTGGTAATCTAACATTTCGTGGCCTGTTTGAAGCATTTTTTGGTTATTTTGTTGCATTTTTTCTCATACTTGGTTTCTATATGGATGAACATCAAATTAATCAATCAACAGATCAATAAAAATGAATGTTTCTATTAAATTTTGTTTTTTTTTTTGCATTAATTAGTATTTTGTAAATTTCTATGTTTTAAAAAATAATATATAAATAAAAATAAATTACAACACTTGTGAGCATGCGTATTGTGAAATCTTAAAGAAATATCTAAAAATGATACAATTTGACTAAAGAAAAATTTCTCTTTTTCCTTCCAACCCAATTTAATCGATTATCACCACCATCAATCATCATCATCATAGTTTATTATGAAATGCTTCATCGATTAATGATCAAAAAAAAAATTGAATATCAAAATTGTCATTAGGCAAAAAATTATCGATAAAAAAACTCAATTTATTTCTGAATTCAAAATAAAATTTGTTTAAAATCATGCAAATATTGGATCAATTGAACAATTTTCAATGCAAAAAAACTAATTTTTTATTGTATTAATGATAATAATAAAAAAATTAATATAAATTATTTATATTTAACAGTAATGATAATTGTTCGATTTTGTTTGTTTGTTTCGAAATTTTATTATCGATTATTATCGATAATGATCAATTTTTTCCAATTTCGATTTGATCAACAAACTAAAAAATTTTTTTAATCATTTTTTTAATAATTATGGTGGGTGAGGGTTTGAATCGTTCTTTTATATTAAATTATCTCAATGATGTTTTAGGGGAAAAAATGGTTACATAAATAAAATTGAAGGTCATTCATTAATAGTGTCAACCTGTTGATTGTTGATTTGTTGTTCATTCATATAGATTTTCAATATTAAAAAGAATGCAGCAATATAGCCTAATAATGCTTCAAACAGGCCACGAAATGTTAAATCACCCAAATAACCAAATGTAAAGGCAATTTTTTTGCCCGTTAATAATCGTTCATAAAGATCATCATATTTTAATTTCAATCGAAGATGCGTTGAACGTTTTAATTGTAATTGCATTGCTGGTAAATAATCTTTGATTGCATGAAAATTACTTGACATATTAGCGAATAGAATACATGGAAATGATCCGGTAACAGCATGTATTGCTGTAATAAATATAATTATAAATTTTGTTTCCGGTATAATATCTTCAACAATCAATTCACACATTAATGCAACATTCATTGGTATGCTGATTAATGCATAATAATATAATGCATCACTCCATGTTGTTTTATCCGTATAAATAACATAATATGATAATCTAGTATGTTCATTTAGATAAAATCTTAATTGTTTTGAATCCTTTACATTGATTTGATGACCATGATATTTTGATTTATTTAAAATATCAATAAATTTTTGATTCAAATCATCAATACTACCATTAAATATTAGATATGATCCTATTATTGAACATGATAATAATAGTGCACATTGTACTAATGTTGCCATTGTATAAACCATCATTAATGATTCAATCACTAATGCTATTTTTAATAATATCGAATTTTGAACCACTATTAGTGAATATAATTGCGGAAGAAGTACAACAGCCGAAACTGCAACAACAATTTCTTTTAGTGTTTTTTTTGTTGAAGTGGATAAAATAAAGATTAATAACCACATCAGCATCAAAACATCAAAAATAAAAGACTTACGGAATCCAATTTGAAAGAAATTACCAAAAATATTACTTAGAAATATAAACAATAATTCATGATTACGTGCTTTGATTGGTGAATTTGGAAATATTAGCATACGATTATGTTGTTCAAATAATTCTCGATCAATACGATCCATTTGTAACCATGAATCTAACCAAACACGTATTGAAATCAAACGATTAGCTAAAGGATTTATCATTGATAAATATGGATGATAGCGTTCAAATTGTTGTCGATATTGATTGAAACGTGTTGATAATTTGATTTCCAAATTTTCTTCACTATCCAAACTTTGATAATATTGATCAGTATTGTAAACAATACAATCATATAGTAATTGAAAACTAAGCTGATCTGAACGTTGAAAATAAAATGTTCGAACCCCTAACAAACCGATAAATGCAAATAATGCCAAAATTATAACAAAAAATCTATTTAAAATTTGACGATATTTCCAAAAATATGCTGCAACATATTCATATTGATAGAATGGATATTGTTGGGGATCCGAAAACATTAAATATAGAAAACATGTTCGTAGAAAAAAATAAATAAAATGAATAACTTCAATCGAATGCATAAGACGATATTGTTTGGTACCATAATCATTGACAATATGTTTCATGGCCATATATAAAAAGGATTTAAGTTTGAACAACATTTTTTCGTTTCTTGGTTCTGTTTTTTGATCGTAAATTATCACTGGTTAGCGATTATGTTCCTAATGAAAATAAAATAACAAATTTTCGCGATTATTATATCGTTTATCGTTAAAACAAAATGGGAAATCATTATGCATGCACGATAATTGTTCAATTTTATAATTATCGATTTTTATTAAAATTTAGCAAAACTGACTAACAATTTATTCAAACCATAAATCATACAACAAATATTCATAAATAAAAGAACATTATAATGATAACAGTGAAAGAAAACTTTTCTTCATCAAACTTCTCGCCCCCATTTTTTTAAAAATCGATCACCATTAATAGTTCATTATAGAAAAATGCTTCATCGATTAATGATCAAAAGTGTAAGGGTCATAACATTGATAATATTGATTGATTGAATTTGATGTTCATTAACATATAGTGATCAAGAATTAACCAAAAAATATGTAGAAATTTTTCTTTTTCATTGTTGATTGTTATTGACAATTTGTTGTTCATTCATATAAACTTTTAATGTTAAAAAGAATGCAGCAATATAGCCGAAAAATGCTTCAAACAGGCCACGAAATGTTAGATTACCAAGCGTACCAAATGTATGGGCAATTTTTTTGCCATGAATCAATCGTTCATAAAGATCATCATATTTTATCTTTAAACGTAAGTGTTTTGATTGTTTTAATTGTAATTGCATTGCAGGTAAATAATCATTGATTGAATGAAAATCACTTGACATATCAGCTAATAATAAGAATGGAAATACACCAGTAACAGCATGTATTATTCCGGCTGTTATAAATAAAAATTTTGTTTCTGGTATAATATCTTCAACAATCAATTCACACATTAATGTTACATTGATCGGTATGCTGATTAATGCATAATAATATAATGCTTCACTCCAGGTAATTTTATCCGTATACAAAACAAAACGTGATAATTGTGTATGTTCATTCAAATAAAATCTTAATTGTTTTAATTCGATTGCTGTAATTTGATAATGATTATCATATTTAATTTTTTCCAATAATTTTATTAATTTTTCATTCATTTCAGTCATTTGTCCATGTATTGTTAAATATGGTGCTATTATTGAACAAGCTAATACTAATGCACATTGTATCAATAATATTACATTATGAAATGTTGATATTGCTTCAATTACAAATATTAATTTTACTATTATTGATTTATCCATTAATAATTTTGCAAATTCTGATATTACAAAGAAAGCAGTAATTATAACAATAGTGGCTGAATTTTTTCAAAAAAAAAAGATTTAGGTAAAATTAATTATGATAAAATTATAAAGGATAATAATAAAAATACTTACTACATGTAACTAATAAAGAATAATTAAAATGATTTGTAAACAGAATAAACAATACTGCTCGATTACGTGTTTTGATTGGTGAATTTGGAAACAAACGCATACGATTATGTTGTTGAAATAATTTTTTATCAATATGATCCATTTGTAACCATGAATCTAGCCAAACACGAAATGAAATCAAACGATTAGCAAATGGATTTAAAATTGATAAATATGGATGATTTCGTTCAAATTGTTGTCGATATTGACGAAAACGGCGTGATTTTTTAATCTGAATATTTTCATCCGAATCACGACTTTTCCAATATTGATCAGTATTGAAAACAACACAATCATATAATTCTTGAAAACTTAATGTATCTGAACATTGTAAATAAAATGTACGAATACCTAATAGTCCGAGTAATGAAAAAAATATACAAAATATGATTGAAAATTTATTCAAAATTTTACGACGTTGCCAAATATATGCAGCACCATAATCATATTGATATAATGGATATTTTTCCGAATCTAAAAACATTAGAAATATAATACATAATCGTATTAACCAATATATAAATAATAAAACATCTAAATAATGTCGTAAACGATAATTAGTTGTTCCATAATCTTCACAAATATGTTTGATTGCTGTATAGAAAAATGATTTGAAATTGAACAACATTTTCGCTTTTGTATTTTTTTTCTATTCCAATTGATTTTTTCTGATTGCGATAGGTATGTTCAGGTTGAAATGCAAAACTAATATGATGATGAAAATATTGAGAAATATAAATTGGGTGGGTTAAAATAGTTTTGGTGATCATTAGCATGATAAACATTTTTTTTCCCTTTGAATTTCATTTTATCGATTTTAAAAAAAAAAAAAATTAAATTTAAAACCTATTTTTCATCAGAAATTCTTTTTTTTCATACATTTCGTTTCAAAACAAATATTATAAGTTTATTATTATTGCATAATAATAAGTTTGTGAGAAATGTATGTAATTTTTTCCTGATTCTAATCATCATTATCAATGGAGAAAACAGATCGATAAAGTTTATTTTTGTTTTGTTGTTTGTTTTTTTTTGACTGATTGGTCGTTATCGTATTTATTTTGCTAGTTTAATCGATTTATTTTATTGCAATGAATTCAGATTTATAGATCGTTTAAATTTTGATAGAATCCAATAATAAGAAAAAATATTGCAAAATAACCAAGTATTGCTTCAAACAGACCACGAAATGTTAAATCACCCAAATAACCAAATGTAAAGGCAATTTTTTTACCACAAACAAGACGTTCATAAAGATCATCAAATTTCAATTTCATACGTATATGTTTTGATTGATTTAACTGTAATTGCATTGCCGGTATATGTTTTCTTATGGCATGACATGATTTTGATACATGGGCTAATGTTAAAAATGGTATCATACCAGTTGATGCATGTATCAATGTTACCGAAAAGAATAATAATTGTGTTGGTCGTGGTAAATTTTCAATAATCAGAATACAAACAAAACATACATTGACTGGAATGGAAACCATTGCATAATAATATAATGCCTGACTCCATGCATCTTTATCGGTAAATATTTCATAATAGCAAAGGATATTATGTTGACGATAAATAAAACGTAATTGTTTCAATTGTTTTTTACCAATACGATTTGATTTAGATATTTTTACCAATTGTTCACGTAAATTACGTAATGATATAAGAAATACATGATATGGTGCTGTTACTGTACCAGCTAATAACATTGCACATTGTATTAATTGATATATATTTACAATGAATATTATTGAATCAATAAATAAAGCAAATTTCATTAGATCAGAATTTTTGACCATTTCCAATTGACTAATATCAGGTAAAACATATATAGCACCATATATCAATGTAAATGCTAATTTTAAATGTAATGAGAGACATGTGGATTATTTTTTTTTTGAAAAAAATAATACTTACTAATAGCAAAATGTAATGCTAAATTAAATACATCGATAATCAATACGAATATGAGTACATAGGTACGACTTTTTAGATTTGCATATGGAAATAATTTCATTTTATTCTGTTTTAAAAACAGATTTTGATCAACTTGATCTAATTCTAACCATGAATCTAACCAAACACGAATTTTAATTATTATTTTTATAATAAATTCTGGAATTATCATTGATAAAAATGAATGATTATATTGAAATTGTCGACGATAATGATTATAACGTGTTGATAATTTAATTTGAATATTTTCTTGTGTATCCATACTTTTATGATATTGATCAGTATTATAAACAATACAATCATATAATACTTGAAAACTAAGCGTATCCACACGATGAAAAAAAATGTTTTTGAACCATGCATAGATATTAATGTTATTAATAGTGCAATAATAACAAAAAATTTATTAAAAATTTTGCGATATTTCCAAAAATAACCAGCAACATAATCATATTGATAGAATGGATATTGTTCTGGATTAAAATACATTAATAAGAAGAATATTAAACGTATTAACCATGTAATGAATAGAATTATTTCAATTTGATGTCGTAAACGAAATTTTCTAGTACCATATTCATGAACAATATGTTTCATTATTTCATAGATAAAATGATTGAATTTGAAATACATGTTTTCTTTACTGTGTTTTCAAGCTTTTTTGTTATCAAACTCAAAATTCGATGTTGATAATGGAATGACCATTCCAATACAAAGCCATCTGATTGAATGATGATTCAGGTTTGATAAGTTTTTTTTTTGGTTTTGTGGAGAAGGAAGTATCGTTGATTTATTCATATGAATGACGTTAATGTAACCAGTCAACAGGAAAAAAATCAAAATTAGAAATGATTTAATGAGAATTTTATTCATTTTTGAAAAGAAAATTACAAACAATAACTTTTGCATGATTTTTGATCGTTTTTCAAAAAAAAAATGTTTATTTATTTATTTTTGTTCAAATCAATTGTTATTAGCATTTTTTTATTGGTCAAGTTTTTTATAAAATCCTATTGTCAAAAAGAATGCAGCTATATATCCCATGAATGCTTCAAACAGACCACGAAATGTTAAATCACCCAAATAACCAAATGTAAAGGCAATTTTTTTACCAAACATTAATCGTTCATAAAGATCATCGAATTTAATTTTCATACGTATATGTTTTGATTGATTTAGCTGTAATTGCATTACAGGTATATGTTTTCTTATGGCATGACATAATTTTGATACATGGGCTAATGTTAAAAATGGTATCATACCAGTCAAAGCATGTATCAATGTTACCGATACGAATAATAATTGTGTTTGTATGGGTAAATTTTCAACAATCAGAATACAAACAAATGATACATTGATTGGTATGGAAACTAATGCATAATAATATAATGCCTGGCTCCATGCATCTTTATCGGTAAATATTTCATAATAACAAAGAATATTATGTTGACGATAAATGAATTGTAATTGTTTCAATTGTAATGGACCAATTTGTTTTGCTTTTGATATTTTTGCAAATTTTCTATGTAAATTACGTAATGATATAAGAAATACATGATATGGTGCTGAAACTGTACCGGATAATAACATTGCACATTGTATTAATTGAAATATATTTAATAGAAATAATATTATTTCAATAATCAAACCGAATTTTAATAGATAAGAATTTTGAACCATTTCTAATTGAAAAAAATCAGGTAATACGCGAGTAGCACTATATATTATTGCTAATACTATTAATGAAATGATAATTTTTTTAAGTAAATTAAAACTTAATTAAAAATCAATAAACTTACTAGCACCAAAATGTGATATTAAATTGAATAAATCAAAAAGTATGACAAATAACAGTACATAGGTACGACTTTTTAGATTTGCATATGGAAATAGTTGCATTTTATTTTGATTTAAAAATAATTTTCGATTCACATGATCCAATTCTAGCCATGAATTTAGCCAAACAAAAATTTTGAATATTATTTTTTGAATAAATTTTGGAATTATTCTCGATATCAATGAATAATTTCCAGCAAATTTTTGTTGATATTTTTGAAGACGTTGAGATTTTTTAATTGCAACATTTTCTTCGGTATCCAAACTTTTCCAATATTGATCAGTATTATGAACAATGCAATCATATAATACTTGAAAACTAAGCGTATCCACACGATGAAAGAAAAATGATTTCATACCAAGTATAGATGTTAATGTTAATAACAGTGCAATAATAATAAAAAATTTATTTAAAATTTTACGATATTTCCAAAAATAACCAGCAACATAATCATATTGATAGAATGGATATTGTTCTGGATCCAAATACATTAATGAAAGTATTGATAAACGTATTAACCAATAAATAAATAGAATACATTCAATTTGATGTTGTCGTCGATATTTTTGAGTACCATATTCATGAACAATATGTTTCATAATATCATAAATATAATGATTTAATTTGAAATACATGTTTTTATTTGTTTTCAATGAAAGTTTCAATGAATAAACTGAAATTCTGATTGAAAAATCATTCAATACAAAGCAGTATGATCGAATGATGATATTATCATTTTAATATTTTGCTCTGATCAAAAACCAATCCAAAATTTCGTTTTTTTTTCTTTTCGTTTTTTGTTGTCATTGGTGTTTTGAGCATATCGTTTATTTATCGAAATGCATTTAATCAATAAATTTATTGGAATTTTTTTTATCATTTTAAAATTTTCGTTATAAAATTGACAGACATCAACAGCAACAACAGCAACTTTTTGCATGATTTTTGATCATTTTTCAAAAAAAAAATAATAATAATTTTCCAAGTGAAACAGACAATGATAATTATAAAAAAAAAATCAATACAATTGATTTGATTGATTTGAATAATGGGGAAAAAAGTTTTTTTTTGTGGAAATTTTCCCGAGAAATGTTTCAGCAATCTGATAAATATTCATTTGAATTTCACAATTATTTTATTTTTGGATTCTTAATCAATCGATTGATGATTTTTATTTGGAAATTATGGTTATCATTACAATTTGAAATGATACAAAAAAAAAAAATTCTTTTCGTTGATGGATGATCATTTATCAAACTTCTCATCAAAAAAAAATGGTAATTTTATTATTATTATTATTACAATCGATACAATCGATTATTTTAAAGTTTTTTTTGGAAAAAAATTTCTCAAAAATTTGTTTATGTGTAATAATTGGAATTTGACAATTTTTGTACCGAAACCAAATCAAACTCTTAATTCATTGGAATTTTCTTTAAGATAGAAACCAAGAATTAAAAAAAATCCAGCAATATAAGCAAGAAATCCTTCATTATCGATTATCAATTAATTCAAATCGATATCGAATCAATTATTATTTTTCCAATAAAGTCAATCTTTCTTTTTCCACAGATTTGCGAAATAATAATTTTCTTTTTTACAGCCAAAAAAAACGAGAAAAAAAGCTTATTTTGGCATCTCTCAATGTGTGTGTGTGATGATTATCATTACATTTTTTTTAGTAAAGA